ATTCTATTCTATTCTATTCTATTCTATTCTATTCTATTCTATTCTATTCTATTCTATTCTATTCTATTCCAAGTGTGATATTGATAACATTTTTCTGTAGGCAAGATGTAATGTTTGGATAGGTTTTTAAATTTCTGAACTTATTTATAATGGTTGATCACCATGCAGTTATCACTATGTGTGATAACTGTTCAGGATTTGCAGAGCTGAAGTATTTAGAAGGATAGTCTAATCATTTCTGAATATTGGTTCTTTTTTTAAACGTACAATTTTCAAAGAATGTACTTACGTCATTTCCTTTGGGTCCTGATGGGCCTTTTTCTCCTGGTGTACCTGGCTCACCTTTTGGACCTACACCACCTGGGGGACCAGCTGGGCCAGTAGAACCAGCTGGGCCTGTATGTCCATCTTTGCCTGGTGGGCCAGAATTGCCAGGTGATCCTGGTGCTCCCTAGAAGGTGATATTTGAGAGAGAGAAATATAAGATAGTTCTTGACTTAATGCTACCAGGACATCAGAAAATGGAGAATGTATGAAGGACAACAGCTACACTTCTTAACTACTCATATCTACTACCAGTAAAAAAATGAATATATCTAGAATTGCATGCTTTTAAAAATGCCAAGCAATTAAAGATTAAAGATCAAAAGAAATATCTGATAGTGTAGGCAAATGGTTTTTCCCCAGTTTGCATGCATACTACACTTTTTCTAAAAATCCATCCTAAGGAAATGAGGATGCTGTAGTTGCAACCGTGATGGCTAGTGTTATCTGACCTGTGGCCAACAGAATATAACATAGTCTCCTATCCCACTTCCTTACTTTGCATAGGGCAGGAGTATCCAGCTCTGCTCTTCATCATGAATTGAAAAAAAAAAACACACAGAGAGAAAGACTGGCTTCCATGAAGGATATTTCATGCCTGAGTTGCATCTCCACAAGACCTTATTCAATTCCATGACTGCTTTGCAACTCCTCCATTGATCCTGCTTTTGGACTAGCTGAATCCTTCAAACTCCAAAGTGATTGCTCAACTTTCCATTTCTACAAACCATACTCAAGATGGAGCATTGTTGCTCACTTCCTTCCTTCCTTTTTCTTTTTTACAAAAGAAGGAGAGATATATTTTGGAAAAGGGTTATTCCTTAGCAATCATGGGCATGAAGTAGTCTGGGTTAAATATTGTCTACCAGAGATATGCTTAAGAGGGGCTTCAATTTATAAATGGAACATCTGTGATCGAAACACAGCACCTGTGACTGAATGTGCAAATGGAACTGTTGTGCAGTTTGATTTCTCTAGTTATTTCCAGCTAAAATTCTAGAGCAGAGAAAAGAATCTGAAGGCAGAGAAGAATAGTAAGTGTTAAAAATTGTAGTAATTCTCACATTGTTACCAGGAGGACCAGGTAAGCCTCGACCTCCAGGAAAGCCAGGTGAACCCTGAAATAAATGAGTATAGATGATATTAACAAGTTATCAACTACTGCTCAACAGGAGATGGAAAAATCAAATTCAAGAAACCGATATACTCTTTATCACATACAATAAATACACCACTTTTTATATCTTTTGCCTCTGAGTCAGTCTTGACTCCTGTTGACTGCCTAGTGTGCTTGCAGTTTTTTTGTCAAGGTTTTTTCAGAAGTCATTTCCCATTACCTTCTTTCCTTGGGCTGAGAAATAGTGACTGGCTCAAGTAACCTAGTTGGCTTTTGCCCAAGATGGGGCTAGAACTCCCAGTCTCTAGCCCAATACCCTAACCATTAGACTAAACTGGCTCTCTAAGGGAGAGCATTTGTTTGCATTTGACAATTTGGTTAAGAGGTCATTACATCTTTTGTACGATGGCTTGCTGTGACATGACTCTAAATAAATGGATCTCAAGAAAAACTGATAGGCTACAAGTAGCTGTCAGACTGTGCTTTTCCCAGCTCCAAACTAAAAAGAACATCTATCATTTACATAACTATTTAGGAAAAAAAACAAGAATGCATGGACATGTGTACAAGGCTCAGATAGAAAGGTCTGATTGAGATAAGCCCGTGGACCACCACTGAACCACTGAGAAAATTTTGGAACTGAAATGTCAGCTGAACTGGGACATGCCAGATTAAAAGGATATTTTTTATTTTGTTTATGTTTCTTCTTAAAGAAATTAGTGTGTTGTCTTTAGACCATGGTGTCTTTTAAAGGCCTGGGGGCTAAAGAGCTTTTGCCCCCCTCCTCGAATGGTATGGTTGTTGTGTGTTTTAAATTGTGTATTGTTATGTTCATCTTTTTATCCCCTATTTGTACCCCCTTCCCTGACCGAATTGTGATCCTCCCTGAGTCCCCTTCGGGGAAAAGGGCGGCATATAAATGAAATAAATCCTAAATCCTAAATCCTAAA